GAATTTATTTGATTAGCAATATTTACTTTATAGGCTTTTATACTTTAATTTATAAACTTGATATGCTACACCCATATAAAACTTGCTCAGGTTTTGCTTGTTTCCGCCTCTTCGCGTACACTGTAAAAAAGTCTATTGTAAAATGTCAGTCAAAAGTCTGGCAGGTCCTGAAGACCAATAGTGCTGATGTATATTTGCATAGCATGACAGGGTACTGCCTTTGTTTAAACTTTTAACCATGACGGTGTTGAATAGGGCAACAGTATAAATTCCCCAGCCACGGTACAAAACACTTTCTGCCACAACAGTAGATTCTCGTAGGATCTTGTTGGGTGGCAGTCATAAAGATTTGCTAAGTCAGAGATTAGTGGCATAATCTCCTCAATGCTTATTTTGATGCAGGTTATGAAGTTTGTTATTCTCTGCAGCTTCTGAACCTGCCCATTCTCATAAAGACCAATAGTGCTGAGGTACTTTTGGTGAAAATGTTTTTCACTGTTAACAGGTTTTGTCTAGCACTCCTGCTGCCAGACTTTTGACTGTTATTTTACAGTAGATTTTTGCGGTGTGTGGCAGCCTCATTGCTTTTAGATCACAAGTTGGGACAGAAGAACAAATCAAATTAATTTGCTCATTTAATATTTAAATTTTTTATTTGGCTTGAATTTTGGAAACCCATATTTATAAACCCACCGCAACTGAAAATGGAATGCCACAAATATTACTCTCTCCCATGTATTATTAGGTATGTCACAGCCCAGCGTGATAGCTGTTTATCTAGGGTTCAGTGTCAGCAATCTGACTATTGCCGGTGATTACCAAGAGTAATCCAGCTCTGTTTTGCGTGTGACGTCAATCTTCGTCCACCCTGCTTTGGAAATTTAAACATAAGGCGCCGCAGGGGTAAGTCCAACACATGACAAAACTCACTGGTCTTTTGGGGTATAGCTCACGTGCCTGAAAATTCGATACGTGAGGAGGGGCTCAATAGTGCAGCAAAAAAAATTATCTGAATCTATTTTTATGACTGCCACCCCAAAAGATTCTACGAGAATACAATGCCGGGGCAAAAGTTGTTTCACAACCGTGGCTGGGGAATTTATACTGTTGCCCTATTCAACACCATCATGGTAAAAAGTTGAAATAAAGGCAGTACCCTGTCATGCTATGCAAATATACATCAGCACTATTGGTCTTCAGGACCTGCCAGACTTTTGACTGACATTTAACAATAGATTTTTTTACAGTGTACGCGAAGAGGCGGAAGCAAGCAAAACCTGAGCAAGTTTTATATGGGTGTAGCATATCAAGTCTATAAAGTAAATTAAAGTATAAAAGCCTANTACCTGGTGATGCAGCTCGCTGGACGAGCCTTCTAACCCAGGTTACTTAGTGATACTGGTAATTAGTGAATCCCATTTAAGTCTCACATTAACAGACTCACGGGGATACCGCAATCGACTTGCGGTAAAAACTTGATGAGACCCTTGACATGTTAAATGAGGCATGTATTAGTAGTTAGTTTTATGTAGTGGCTTTCTAGTGTCTATAATATTGTATTTTAAATTAATCTCATACTAATGAGTAATCTCATTGACATACTTTTGTAGGACAGCAACATCGAGTCCCGAAGAGAAGTTGTGATAAGGGGCCTCATTGTCTACCTTGGCGAAAACATAGGGGAGTTAATCAAGGACTTCAAGGTAAGGAAGATATAACTGATTCAAAGACCTGTCAATGAGATACAAGTTTGTGCAAAAAAGCAGTTTGATGATGATAATTTGACCAGATTTTCTTGTAGATTTTAAATAACATGCCTATGTCAAAATTAATGGGATTTGATTCATTTGATTGTATCAACATGCCCTACACAAAAAGGAAAAATGTACAATCAAGGATAAAAAAGAACACTATATCTAGTACTTATTTCCATTGTGGTGTTCATAAAATTTTAGTGTCTTAATTAAAAATGACACAGTGAAACATGTAAAATCATCACAGATGCCTGGAGACTACTTCTACTCTATGTAAAAGAACATCCTGGGGTTTTCTGAGAACTGCTACTGCAGTTGGATTTGATTACTTTATGACATTTTATCTAATGACGTATGATTTTGCTTTGTTATATGGTTAAACGCTGTTGTGAAATAACAAAAAAGTAATATCTGATGTATAACCATTTGTAGAATTGTAAATGACAGACCCAAATATGTGATATTTTTATATATACAATAATAAATTTTATTCCCTGTTGTATTTCACAGGTTTTCAATGACGACGATGCTGCAGCTGTCCAAGAAGCCATTACTACATTTGTCCTCGGCATCTTTGTGGTCAGCAAAGCAAGAGAAGATCTCCCCAAGCAAGCTGGAATAGCCATCGAAGGAGCAGAAATCCTTTTTGGTATCCCAGATGTGGCTCATGCTTGCACCTATCTGATGGGCCTTCTCTATACCTTGGACCTAAGGTACCCTAATTAACTGAAATATACATTTGAGGTCTTTCAGAAGATCTTTCTGGAGCTGGAGGATGCAAACAAAAAAATGTCTTCCAAAGTCCACGATCTCAAGGTCTGTTTGCATGCTTAAAAGCCATACAGATGACGTAGAAGGTGTAGATTTTGACTGAACTCACTCGTACCAAGTTCTGCTAATAGGTTTACACTGCATATTCTGAGGTTCCCCTAATGCTCTCAGGTTACACTTTTCATTTTCGTATCTCTAATATGCAGAAAAATATTAAATTTAATTTAAAAAGAGCACATGCCTTATTTTGTTATGTATTGTTAATTTAATTTTTGAGAGCTGCTGGATTTTGCTT